ACAATTTTTTTTTGTGATTTTATATATATATTTATATAAAATCACAAAAAAAAATTGTGATTTCCAGACCTGAAAAAGTCACAGAAATTCAGTTGTGGACATTTCTTGAGTAATAGATATTTTATTTTAAATTAAAATAAATGTATAAAAACTGTACCCCAAAAATGTCCACATCCACAACTTTTTAGGGTTTTGTTAACTTCTGCGACTTTTCCAGGTCTGAAAATAATTATTTTAATGACATAGTTTTTTTTATTTAATTTTATGCTAAATTGTTATATAGTTATATTTAGATTTATAAAAAATATATATCCAGGTAGCTATCAAGACCATGACTACGAAAATCCAAATGCTCTCTTCATCAATTTATTCAGGTTCATCTGTTTTTCAACCCATTCTTACTTGATTTGTGGCCTTTTTTAGGTTTGCCCTGTTTGCCCCTCGGGACAGGTGCAGGAATCTCTTCTTCCTCTTGGGGCATCTGTGCAACCTTCTGCAGGAAAGCCTTCTCCAGAGACTGAGCCATCAGGACGATGTCATCTGTTGGCTGTAATAAACAGACGACTTTTAGATCACATGACGATACTACTGATGCGAGTAATTGCTCCATAATAGCCTGGGTAGAAGACCTGAGCTTGATGGAACAACAAAATAAATCCAAGCTCTGAAAAAACAACGCTTATAGAACTTTTCACCTGAACACAAATGAACTGACTGACCTTGTTGTAGATGTAGCAGTTGGTAAACATGGTGTTGAAATCCTGCAAGCACTCGCTGGCACTGCTGTAATAATTGTTTTCCAGTCTTTTCTTGATAGTCCCCATATCCATGGGCTGTTTAATGATTTTGTAATAATCCTGCATGAGATAACAAATAGAACTCATTATTAAGTCAGAAAAACACACGCTTGAGTTTAGACCCATTACTTGTGGTATAACATGCCATTTTGTTATATATTTAAACACAGAGCCTAATAACAAGTCCCTCAAACAGTCCATTCTGGAACAAGATCCAGCTTACAGGCAGGTTGAGCTTGGAAGCGTCCACCGGCTCATGGAAAGGCCAGGCGAAGTGATGCCTCCACAACGTCTTCTGTAAAGCCTTCTGGAGGAACTGCAGTTGGTTGGTCATGCGGCCCAGTCGAGTGGGGTCCCGGACAGGGGGTTGAGGGGGTCCGAATTGAGGCACCTGGGGCAGAGCAGGTCCTTCAAACCCTTCGTACAGCAGCGACGGCTTGCGGATGCGCTTGCCGGGAGTGGAGATGGTCTGCTCCATCATGGTGACCCCCTGCATGCCGTCGCCCCCGCCCAAAGAGCTGTGGAGACAGGAAGGTGAGGGTGTGTCATGTAGAGAAAATACAGGTCATAAACAAATGATATAACTAATAATAGACTATATGAGATGAAATATGAAAAGTCAACATAATCACATTTGACTCATGACTCAAGCTCTATGACTAATCGTGTGTTTTGCTTATGTGAACCAAGCATGAAGACACAACTGGCCCTTCAGCAGTTTATGCGTCCAGGCATGGGTGAGTTACGCTAGGACACATTCCAAACCGATACCCACTATCCTACTGGAAACTGGGGGCGGGGCCTTAAACAGACCTAATAACCCAGATCAGCTCATGTTTGTGTTTATCTGAGGAATTAGCCAATGAGTAAACAGGCCTCAAAATAAATATTCTGAATCACAAATCAATTATTCCTGCCCAGTGGACTAACTTCACTAATGATTCACCCCTAATATTTTATTATTAAATGGTTAGTAAATATAACAAAGGCTTATTTTCTTCAGTTTCAATAGAAAAAGGAGCATTACCCCACAGTTGAATTTCACTGCTGTATTCTCATTTAAATTGATTTTATGCACATAAAATACCTCAGATATGACTTATAGAAATGAATCATAGCCGTTTACAATATCACGGTTTTAAAAACAAATATGAATTCTGAACTCATGTATACAGAAATGTAGGAATTTTTATGGATTTTATACTTACAAATTGCTTATGTAAAATTGCACTACCCCAAGTAATTTTAGTTTACAAACAAGACTTCATATTTTATAAGCTAATAATATGAAGAATCTAATTTCCTCCCCAAGACTTACCTTCTGAAGCCTAACTGTTCAACACTTTAAAGAGAATAAATTGGAAGCATCAAATTTATTACAAGTGCATCCTCTTGGGAATCATTCTCAGTGTACATTAGGATCGCTGGATAGCACAATGATGCAACATTTGTATGGTCATTTTAATAATACGATTTTAATCAGAAAGAGCTTTATTGCCAAGTATTTACACACACAAGGCCTTCGTTTTGGTGTCAGGAGCTTCTAGTGCAGAACTAGACTACAAAACACTTGAGGCGGGTGTTCACTCATTCTGCAGAAGGTTGATCTCATGCCTTCCAGACAGTTTCTGTAAGTGAAGGTTTGCATACCTGCCCCAGTATTGACTGAGTGTCAATTAACAAACTGAAAAATACACAAGGCACACAGGCTGCTCCTAGAGAAATGAACTTTGTGACCGGTGTAAATCCATCACACATTATCTCAAGATACATTTTTAAACTTAAAATCTTGATAAAGCATATTAAGCATGTTTTCTAAACAACTTAAGAGTTAAATATGCAAATGCTAAATGATACAAAAATCACAAACAGTTCACATTTAAAACTTTTATTTTCAGTTAAGTAAAATGTTAGTATACAAACAACGTTTGGGGGGAAAACAAACAAAAACAAAAAAACACGAACAAATAATAGGTCTAATTATTCTGCATGCTGGTTGGGAGGGGGCAGATGGCAGGCTTCACGCGTTGCTAAGCAACCAAAAGCGAAACAACCCCACAAATTATTCAGTGTTGTGCCATTAGATTTCACAAATCAATGGCTCTCGCCACTAAAAGAGGCCGTGATGTGATCAGAGGCTGCAGCTCAGAGTGTAAAATGTTGACAAAAGTCCACGTGGTACGAGACGGAAGCGCAACACAAGACGCGTTTCAGAATGACTAAAACTTGTCAACATACGAGCCACAAAGCAAGCCAGAAAATCACATTAATATAACAACCACTTATAAAACACCTGACGCTGACACATTATTTGTTTCCGTAAGCCAAGTCGCCGCCTTATGACCTATATCTATACATAATTATGCCAATGAAATACCATGGTTCATTACGCCAGTCTGTATTATAATCTACTGATCAAATTCACAACCACAGGCTCGCTTTAACACTCGATCGTTGCATAACAGTGAGTTTAAAATTCACAACACACTTTCGAGTCTTAATAATCACCCACAGCAAATCTGCATTCATTTCTAATAAAGTGTCGGCAACCTCTATGACGAATCAAAAGATACCAGCCGCTTATAGCATTAGCCAATCATGCTAACTTACCGTTCGCACCCTAAAGACATGCAGTTACACAATTCAAACAAGTCTCAGATATGAAAAAATAGGTTTTGTGTTGCTCAAACGTGACAGTCTGAACACCGAGAGAATAGCAGTAAATAAATAACTCTGGGAGCGAAAGCGCGCCTGCGCACTAAACGCGGGCAGTTGCTCGTTAAAAAAATCAGACTTTGGAAACTTGAAGACTAACGTTAGTCGCGTACTGACGCTGTAAAAATGAACAGCATCACTGCCATTAAAGAGCGACAGTCAATGCAGTCTTAATACTCCAGCGTTTCGCTTGATGTTATCGCAGGGCGCAAGTGATTAAAATAAAATAATTCCGAAAGATGCCGAATTAAGACTATATTCCAACAACATTTTCGTTCACAGAACAAGTGCAGTGTCATTTAGTCCAATCGGTACCTGTCAAAGGGCGGGCTAATGGCCGTCTCCATCGGGATGGATCCGAATTCCGTTTATAAACCGGCTTCGTTCGAATATCCGAGTTTCGCGGCCTTGTTTTTCTGACTTCCTCTATCCTCCAGCTCGGAGATACAATGAAATGGCGACGTTGAGGCTCCGCCCGACTTTTTATAAACCCATCGAAGGCGCCATTGGCTGATGTAACACCATAAGTACACGCCTACGCGAATTCTACTGGCCACTCTATCTGTCAGTCAAACAGGCCACGCCCACACATCACGATTTCTGGATTTAAACCAGATTATTTCGCAAAAAAAATCACTCGTTTAAGCAACGCCGCCGCTTTAGTTATAAGAACAACACTCAGCAAAACATTTTCACGAATAATTAAAAAACACAAAGATGCGGTAACATTTCCAGAAACGCTGCGTTTCTCGAGTTTTGCGATACGTCAACAGACGTCGCTGATTGGCTGGCCAAAACTAAGGGCGCGATCATCCGGGTCAGGTTGGAAATACGCCATTGGCTCGCCCGATTAGTCACGTGTAACAGACAACTGCGGCACACACACGCACTGTTCACCTCGCCTTCGTTCCTCATCGACTGCCTGAAAATCACAAAAATATCAAATCAAATATCTGAAGGCAACCTCGTGATGTTGCTACACCCCCCAAAAAAAACGGAAAAAGCAAACCCGAGGCCTAAAGGAGCCAAAAACAATGTTATATCATTAAAAACTCGACTTTTAACCCAATGTAAGGTAACACATAGCGAAGTCAGACCCATATTAAAACAAACAAACAAAAAAGGCGATGCCCTTATCTGTGTCGACCTACAAGGAGTGTCCTCCATAACATGACTCAGCAACTTTGACACTTCAAACGACGACACAGTGGCTAAAACACGATTGCAAGGACAAAATATGTACAAAACACACTAAAGTTGATCAGAAATTACTTAAATGCTCGAATTACATTATGAATTTAGACGAAATCCTACAAAAAAGATCCGAGCTCTAGCTACCAAAGCCAAAATCATCTACAATACCTAAAATGCGTTTGATTCAGCTCAAATGTTCTGCCTGTTATAATAAAAGGCCATAATTACTAACAAATCTTGTGAGGTTTTCACATCAGCCGTACTAATTTTGTAGAGGACACTTGAAACACACTGATAAAAAGATGTTCTGTCCAGAAGCCATGTTAAACGCGTTAAAGTATATTAACCTGGTATAAAAACTTACAGATTTTTTATATTAAAAGGGTTTAGCACAGCGGATTTTTAGTTAAATATAACGTTACTGCCGCCCATCCCCCACTACCAAGGTTACAGATTTTCAACAATGTCATCGACTGTGGAAAACAAAACACAACACTAAACTGGCCAAATTGTTCGTGGTTGTCTATACATTATTTAAATTAAATTATTAACACTATTTTTTGTTTTCTAAAAAAATTATCTAAATCTCTTAACATATACCTCTATCCAGATTAAGTGAATTGAAAATAAAAATGAAAAACAAAATATGTCGAATTCCTCATTGTTGGAAAAATCCCGCTTTTCTTCTCGTCTTCAGCCACGTTTCTTTATTCAACACATTCCCCTCAAACATGTCCGACTTCTTCTTCTTCTTCTTCGGGTCGAAGTGGGGGGGCAGGGAGAGTCACGTGATAACTCACAAAACTACTCGCGGGGCTTAAACCGGTTTTAAGCAGGAATTCTCCAAAACGCGTGTTCTTTTCACGACACATTGCATACGAGAGCATCCCCTAGCGATTAAAGACCCGATCTTCTAAAAAACAATAAAATGTAAACTTGTAATTAGTCAGCAACGTTGCTAGATCCAGAACAAAGAAGACATGGCTGTCGTTGCCGCGCCGTGATTGGATGGAGCCGGTCACGTGTCTCGCAAACCATCGCAAAAATTAAACCTGATTCTTTTTTTTTTTTTGCACCGAGATTATCTTCTTGTATCATATAATCCGATTCCGTTCGACTCCTTTCCAAATGCTCTGAATACTTGAATTCAGTTTAGTAAAACGCGTGGCAAAACAAAAAGTTTATTAGGAGCAGGAGAAATCCTTGTAATCAATAGCTTTCATCGCTCTTTGAATGTGATCCTCTCTGCGCATGTGCAGTTTCACTCGACTCCCTTCCGCCGAAACCCGTGAGCTAAAACGGGAAACTTGTTATGCGACTATTTATTTTTTACTTATTACAAAATACAGCTACATTGGAATTGGAAATAAGTTTGACTACACAGATGCATCATTGAGAGATCAGCAAAGGCTAACAGCAAACATTAATAATTATAATACGCAAAGGGATAATATAAGAGATCTGCTGGGTACATTATCCAGTTTATAAAGGTACATTACGTGTGCTTTTTTTTCCACTAAGAATTTATTTAATTATTTTTTTATCTACTTTATTTTTTTTATTTATTTTGGAAGAATCAGATAATTGTCCTTTTAACTGATTTTTTTTTTTCTTCTTTTTTTTACTATTTTTTAAATCTACTTTACCATTTTGAAACTGCCATTTAAAAATAAATAAATAACTATCTTGACAAGAAAAAAATATATTTGTGAATTCTTCTGTGCTTCTCAATACTTTAGTTGGCAACATTCCAGAGACTTCTTTTTAAAACATTACATTTGAAAATTACCAGACAGTTATTTGACTATGTTGTACTACATCTAACAACATCTGTTAGAAGAGCACAAGCCTGGCCTGTCACTCGTCCCACACTACTGATCACAGACACTAACCCAGTCTGACTCAGCATCACAAGGCAACTTGGCCAGCAGGGGAAACGCTTGCTATGGAGGCTCTCGCTCACACACTCTTTCTTTTTTCTAATAGCTGGACTTTCTTGGCAATAGACACTGCGCTGAAGGAAAGCACACACTTTTACCGTGCAATGCTCAATGGTTGGTTTTAGGTGGGGCCCATGGGGGTGTCAAATATAAAAAAGGCCATTTTATCCTAGTTAACTTCTGTACTTTATATCCTTTCCATTGCAATGTTTTAACATGCTTGTGCATTCTTTGTTTGTAAAGCCTAATGTGTGTGTGTGTGTGTGTGTGTGTGTGTGTGTGTGTGTTTTAATGGAACAGTTTATTGAACCTTTAAAGAAATGTCTAAAAATAAAATGTTAAAAAAAAAAATAAAAAAAATTTTTAAATGTCATATTTGATACATCAGGCTTTTATGGCTCATATAGTATAATAGTGTCTATATGGAGCTCATACTTGAGCAAGAAAAAAAAAACACCTAAATTCAGAGGCCCAAACTGAGCAAAAATATGCAATATAGTGCAGATGTCATTAATACAACCAAAAAGTAAGATGAAATTCGTATAGTTTGTAATGTAAGTCAATTAAATTCTTAAAATAATATTACAGACTACTTACATAAGATGCATATAAATGTCAGTAAGTGTTAGTAAGATGATATTTAAATGCTTAATTTTATGATAAAAGCTCTGTAGTTTTTATTGTGGGGAGCAAAACATATAATGCAATGTTGACAGAGAAGTGAACAGATAAATGTACCTCATGATGTGTCATATTTTATACTCACATTTAACATGATTTTTCTAAGAAATAATGCATTGATAATTTAAGGTGCTTCAGTCCAGTACATGTTCATCTGGAAATATTTATATAAATGATATTTCTACATTTACTTTATAAAGATAATTTAAGAATTCACAGAAAAGGGACACATGTACCACAAGGTGGATATTTTAGCATTATATACTGAAAGGCCTTTTACTTACTAAAAAATATAAACTGTCAATCAGAGGGCAGAAGCCATGTAGGTTTTGTACAACAGGTTTTTCAGCAAAGCTTTGATCATGGTACATGCTACATATAGGGTTAAATGTAAATATATCTTTAAAAATTATATAATCAATTTATCCTTTCTATTAAATGATGGTTTAAGCAGCAGAGTTACATTATTGTCAGGCAAAATATTCTATATTATAAAAAATATATATTCTCCAAATAAAATGTTCGCCCTAGAATCAGTTTCAGTCCATCCTTTTCCAAGGCATGTCTGAGACTACAGCAATGACTGCTAGAAGCCTTACAGACTTTTCTGTGAAAACATAGTTAATTTTGGAGCTATTAACAGTGATTCTCACAGCCATTTGCATTTCTATTCTGAACCCAGACACAATGAACCCCAATAGCTATACTCTGCACAGGTGTGAAGTGTTGCTATGCAAAACCATTGTTGCATTACCACATTTACCTCTGCAAAGACGTATGGAAATAAAGCTGAACAAAACTCAATAAGCACAGGAGCATTTGATATACTAAAGCTTTTGTGATACATTTTAAGCACTTTATGGTTCACATAAATGACCATTTCAGTATTTTTCTCTTAAATGTCATAAGATTTACATTTACATTTAGTCATTTAGCAGACGCTTTTATCCAAAGCGACTTACAAATGAGGACAATAGAAGCAGTCAAAACTAACAAAAGAGCAACAATATGTCGTCAGCTGTTAGATTTGATGAAGGAGGGGGAGGAGGATGACAAAATAGGGAGGAAAATGTTTTAAAGAGCATGCGAGAGTTAGGTGAATTGTTAATTTGTTGTGATAGTATGTACTTTTAGCAGTGGAGACATTAGCAGAGAATTAAGAGAGGAGTGATCGATATACATTAAGGTCAGTAGGATTTTGTGATTTGCGCCAT